TAACGAAAAACATGTTTTTTATTGATTTCAGACAGGAAGGGGGAGGAGGGAGAGAGAGAGAGACAGACACGTCAATGATGAGAGAGAATCATGGATCGGGTGCCTCCTGCACGCCCCACACTGGGGATCGAGCCCACAACCCGGGCATGTGCCCTGACCGGGAATCGAACCGTGACCTCCTGGTTCCTAGGTCGATGCTCAACCGCTGAGCCACGCCGGCCGGGCTCTGCTCATATTTTCACCATTCATTCGATTCACAATGCCACTGGCCTGGGGAACCTCGAGTCCTCATTTAGTTAATTCTCCTACTCACCAAAGGCCTGAAGCAGGTCTCCGATTTAGTGTTAATTCACTTGTACACTGAGCTGGTCCGGAGCCTTATCCTTTCCACCCTGGACCGCAGCCCATAGGAATGTTGACACTCTGCTTTCTTCCTATCTGGTCTGAGGCTCTCCCCATGCACGGCCAGTCAAATTCCTTGAACTTGCTTTGACAAGGTCATCTTCTGCTCAGAAACAGTGTGTCTCTTTCTCTGACTGATTTATAGAAAAATAACCCAAATTCTTTAGCCTAGATTTCAAGGCCTGCTGGCTGCAGTATGGACACTTGCTGGTTCCATATTCCTGTTGTTCCCAGCGAGCAGTGTACAGAAAGTGTGCAATGGGTGGTTTTTGTGGACTGCTCTCCACGTTTGAACTCTGACACATGCCCCTTCAGCAACGAAATTTCTGTCTTGTTCATATTTCAAAATTTACCTCCAACCTAACATTTTCTGCAGATTCTTCATCATCTCTCCTGTATACTAGTATGAGTGCCAAAAGTGAAGAATTCTTGAAATGAATATATATAGACAAATGTTTACATATATTTGTGTTTTTCTTTTTTTCTTTTTCTAGGGTCAGACATTGTTCAGTGGTTAATAAAGAACTTAACTATAGAAGATCCAGGTAAATAAATCATTTTCCCGTTGATTATTTTTGTGGTTTTTAAGAAATATGTTTCTACTCTGACAAGCAAACAAACCTGAAAAAGTTATAATTACACTTAGCTACGATGGTAGCATTTATGCAGATTTAGTGGTAGTCAACATATATTCATCTAAAATGTATTTGGTCTGTGTTGACCATTTTTTACATAGTTGATATTCCATTTTATAAAACTTGATTTGGGTGGCGATTGTGTGCCTGTTCATGTGCTATTGAGCATGGAATTTATAGCAAATGATCAGGAGGTAATGAGATTTCTCTTCGTAAAACACCTAAAAGTAAATCTCATTAATTTATAATTGCCTTAGCTCCATTTTTGCATGAGGTCTGAGAATGTTGTTAGTTTCCATCATGTCCACGTGATTCTTTTTAATGCTCTTATTTAAATCGCGGATCCCTTCCCTGTGGTGGACAGTGTGTCTACTCTGCAGTTCTAATCTGATTTGCAGGGCACGGGAACAGCTCTGCTTCGCCGGGGACAAATTCCTACGTATGTGAGGAATCCTTAATGCCTTTTAAATAGTATTTTGTAGGAGCCTGCACAGGTGGTAAACAGCTCACATCGCTGAAATGAAAATAAGATGTATTTGTTTACAAAAGATGCTGAGAAAACAAACAAAAAACAACAAAATATTGGGATTATAGTGACTGAGATGGTTGTGGCAGAGAAAGATGGAAATACACTAACTACTCAACCCATCTTCCCCTTGATTAGAACAGAATTCTGCTTGGCTTTGCTCCTACCTCTTATTCCACCTTAGAACGCTCTGGAAATAACAGCACATGGAGATGCAGACATTTTATTTTTCTTCATTTTTGAGCTGACTTTATAAAAGCCATGTTATCATAAAGTGTAGCTCTCATTCTAAACGCCTATATGCATCCCCTGTTCCTTTGGTACATGAGCTTTGAAAATACTGTACTTATCCTAGCAGGTTAAGTGGAATTAAAACAATTAAGTCAAGATGAAGCGGCCCTTGCCAGCATCATATTATGACTAGGTGAAAAGAGGTGATAATTATTGGGAAAGGAAGCCACAGTCTTACCAAGATTACACCGTGGCCTCCGTTTAGTAGCATGCCTGACTTTATTATAAACTGTGGCACCAGCCGTAGCCGGTTTGGCTCAGTGGGTAGAGCGTCAGCCTGTGGACTGAAGGGTCCCAGGTTTGATTCCAGCCAGAGGCACATGCCTGAGTTGTGGGCTCGATCCCCAGTAGGGGGCATGCAGGAGGCAGCCAATCAGTGATTCTCTGTCATCGTTGATGTTTCTATTTCTCCCTCTCCTTTCCTCTCTGAAATTAATAAAAATATATTTTAAAAAATAGAAATAAAATATAGCACCAGACGGAGGACCCCAGCACACACACATACATACACACACACACACAACCAAAACCAAACTAAACAGGCACAATCACTGATAACCAGGAGCCTGATTTTCAAGGAATATTATTGCTCAAAGAATGAAGATGATTCAAAAGCATATTTTTTTGTAAGTTAAGATTGAAAGTGTACCTCAGTGACAGTATGAGAAGCAGGGAAAATATACAGATACAATAAGCGAGTAAGAGACAATTATTGCTTATAATTTATCCATGAGATATCATTATAGCTATAATGAGTATAAAACTGATTTTATTTGCTTGTTTGGCGGTTTAAGGATGCTTTAGAGCTCCATTTGAAGATGCATAAAAAGACAGTCAGTCATGTCTGGGGGGCATACTATCCTTTAGTCATACTTATGACAGGCTGCAAAATTAATTTTTATCTGGTTGTTTTACTTTTTAATGAGCTAATTTACCCTCTACTGAGCGAAGAGTTCTATGCTAGATTTTTAAGAAAAGCAAGACGCACTGATGATTGTTCTGAAGATAGAACAGACTTTGCCCATAGAAAATGAATCAGTCTGGCAGCCTGGTTCTCATGAAATGGGGCCAAGAACATAGGTGACATTCTGAAAGTTCCTTTCATGGTTGCATGGGTGAAACGAATCATACCATTTGGAACTGTTCCTAAAGAGAGATTAAACCATTATTAGAAGGCCAGGTCTAATTGGAACCCCGTAAATTCTCTGAAAATATTTAAAAATAAGAGAGGAGCCGGGCCAGCATGGCTCAGTGGTTGAGCATCGACCTATGAACCAGAAGGTCATGGTTTGATTCCTGGTCAGAGCACGTGCCCAGGTTGCAGGCTCGATCCCCAGTAGGGGGCGCACAGGAGGCAGCCGATCCATGATTCTCTCTCATCACTGATGTTTCTATCTCTTTCTCTTTCCCTCTCCCTTCCTCTCTGAATCTATAAAAATATTTTTTTTAAAGAAAGAAAGAAGCCCTAACTGGTTTGGCTCAGTGGATAGAGCACTGGCCTGCAGACTGAAGGGTCCCAGGTTCGATTCCGGTCAAGGGCATGTACCTTGGTTGCGGGCACATCCCCAGTAGGGGGTGTGCAGGAGGCAGCTGGTCGATGTTTCTCTCTCATCCATGTTTCTAACTCTCTATCCCTCTCCCTTCCTCTCTGTAAAAAATCAATAAAATATATTTTTTAAAAAAAGAAAGAAAGAGACTAGTGGGACTTTATTGTGGGCTTTGCTCTGGGAAAAATCCTTCCTAGGTTCCCATGACCCTCATGGCACAGAAAGGGTTTCGCTGTCGAAGAGAAGATGAAACCTCCCAGGGTTACTCACCCATAGGTTCCAGATCATTCGTTTTTCTCTGAGTAAAGGCCACGATGGATGCTAATCAGCTGCAGGGAAATGCTCTCAATGTTCTGCAACAGCCCAAGAAAGTTGCTTTTATTCTGGGGGAAAAAAGCGTTTATGAGCAAATAGAAGCTCCTGTTGGAGACAAACCGTGATATATCGGTTGAAATAAGCTCACGCTGGAACCCGGCCAAGCACAGCCAGGACATAGCCAGAGTCTCAGAAAAAGATAAATTCATCGGCTGGAAATGTATCTCGGGGCCTAAAATAATAGCATATTAAGTGAAATAACACCTGTAGGTGATGCTTTTTCCTTTCTGGGAGAGTTCCAAACATTTTCAAGCCATTAACAGGCATCCGGACTCCCTGCCGATTACCCTCTCTGGTTGAACAGGATTCAAGGGCAGGGCTCTGGCTTCCAGCTTAGAAAAGTAGCAGGTGCAGACACTTATTTTCTGAAAGTTCAGGCAAACTGAGTAGGTCAGCTTTTTGGGAATACTGTTGGCAAATAGTAGGAGATAAGACCAGCGGTTCTCAACCTGTGGGTCGCGACCCCTTTAGCGGTCGAACGACCCTTTCACAGGGGTCGCCTCAGACCATCCTGCAGATCAGATATTTCCATGACGATTCATCACAGTAGCAACATGACAGTGATGAAGTAGCCACGAAAATAATGTTATGGTTGGGTCACACCATGAGGAACTGTATTTAAAGGGCCAGAAGGTTGAGAACCACTGGGTAAGACAAAGATGGTGGAGGTTTGGGTCACACCACACCCTGCCTCGCTCTTCTGAGCTATTTCGACTCAGCCAGGTGTGCGACGGAAGGAGAATATCTTGTCCTTCCACAGTAGGTACATTCACCTGGCCTTGCATTTTTATAAACATGCACCCACTGTATTATTCATTGCTTCCCAGCTCTCCACCGTGCCCCCAAATTTGATAAATATGCCTAATTTGCCAGCAGATGTGCAAGGGCAGCCGAATAAATTTTTGGTCACTGAGGCAGTACCATCAACAGGAATAAACCATCGAAAACATGAGAGACTTTTTAATCCGTTAACCTCACTTGCTTTTTTAAAAAAAAAAAATTTTTTTCTGGATTTCACATTTCTGGAACTACTATGAGAATCCTTGAGTTAAAGAACCACCTTAGCTGCTACTTGTCTAAGAAACAGAAACAAATCTATAAATAAATTGCGTATAAATATACACAAACATAAAGGAATCTCACTCTTTTGTATTTTCTGTATACATATGCACTTGTTAGAATAAAAAATTTATTCTGCACAGTTTCATATTGCCCAGACGTCAAGTTAGCAAACTTATGTCATCCCTGCACAAATACAGCGATATCTCTCCTAATCAAATTGGATTAATTCTTTGTTGGAAGCAGTTGTTGGCTGCTGTAGACCGAGTATGACAGTTAACAGTATTATGTTCTGTTTTCCAGCCTGTTGGGAAAATACAATGTTTTCATTGTCAAATAAGCCTCATCCTCGTCCATGTCTAGAATACTGTGTAAATAAAATACTGTATATAGTAAAAGCTAGAGCAGTTTGAACACTCACAGGACGGTAGGCTCAGTTAGTGCAGCATAAGTGGTTTAACATTCCCTGCTAAAATCACCGTTAGTGATCCATTAGAACGATCACTGATAGTGTTTGATATTTATGATATAAGCCAGGGGGTGATGCAAGTGGGAGCACTTTTAAAAGTTTAAAGTGCTGCCCAGCTGGCGTGGCTCAGTGGTTGAGCATCAACCTAGGAACCAGGAGGTCACAGTTCGATTCCCGGTCAGGGCACATGACCCAGTTGCGGGCTTAATCCCTAGTAGGGGAGGGCGTGCAGGAGGCAGCTGATCAATGGTTCTCTCTCATCATTGATGTTTCTCTCTCGCTCCCCCTTCCTCTCTGAAATCAGTAAAAAGATATTTAAAAAAACAAAGAAATAAATAAAAGTCTAAAGTGCTATATACATGCAAATAGAATTGTTTGTGGGTGTGTGGATCCACATGAACATATAGCAAAACACGCCCCATCTATAAAATGAAGGAGTCAGAGTCTGAGATTTCGGAATCCTCTCTGCGTTTCAGTATTCCATACCTCTGTGTTGTGTTCTTGTCTTCACGGGGTGGGGCTCACCCCTGCACGGTCACTGCCAGCAACCAGATCTGTCCTCCTTCCTCCTGGGAATGAGCTGAACGAAGACGAAAAGGTACAAAGCGAGGTTTTCTGGGTGCGAGACTGTGCTCACAGGAAACATGACGAAGTGTCTCTCTCACATCGATGTTTCTCTCTCTGTCTCCCCCCCCCCCTTCCACTCTCTCTGAAAATCAGTGGAAAAATGACCATGGGGGAGGATTAACAACAACAACAACAAAAGGAACCATGACAGAGCCCTACACTTCTGTACATCAGTCATTTAAACAGGTTTTCACGCCTTTTTGTTTGTTTCCGTGCAACAGTGGAGGCCCTCCATTTGGGAACGTTGATGGCTGCCCACGGCTACTTCTTCCCAATCTCAGATCACGTCCTCACCCTCAAGGATGATGGCACCTTCTACCGGTTCCAAGTAAGTTTAAGGAAGATATTCTTTGACAGTAAAACAGACATCATATTTTGTTTGTTAATTGTTTTGACAGGAAATTTGAAAATTATAACTTATTTAACGTAGGCTAGTTAGTAACAGTCTGTTAAATTTAAGACATAAGAATATTAAACTGAAGAAAGAGGGCTTGAGCTTAGTTTAGATCAGTGGTTCTCAGCCTTCTGGCCCTTTAAGTACAGTTCCTCATGTGGTGACCCAACCATAACATTATTTTCGTGGCTACTTCATCACTGTCATGTTGCTACTATGATGAATCGTCATGGAAATATCTGATATGCAGGATGGTCTTAGGCGACCCCTGTGAAAGGGTCGTTCGACCGCCAAAGGGGTCTCGACCCACAGGTTGAGAACCGCTGGTTTAGATGATTTGTGAAAGCTAAATTCTATGGTGACTAAAGTTATATTTGATATCAAAGGCTTGAGAGATATCCAGAGAGGAACATGATGGGATTCAGGAAGATAGGAGAGTTCTTTATCCGTGAGTTACACTTTAGCTTATAAATTTATGATACTCTGGCCCCCACCTGTGATACAGAATGATCTCCAGTCCAAGCAAACTTTCATGGAATGGTTGTAGTGCCAGGGTATAATTTAGCTAATTATTCGACCCTCTACATATGGGTGCCCCCGACCAGGAATTTGACCAGGGGGTGGGTCTGGCCTGCCAACCACCTGTGACCCCTCCCCCCGCCAGCCCCGCCCCCAATCGGCCCCACCCCCACCCGGATTGGGGGCAGGGCCGGCCGGACTCCACCCATGCACGAATTCGTGCACCGGGCCTCTAGTATTAAATATTAAATGGTAACAATTTTAATGGCCATCCACATTTGAAATAGGATCTAAGTATTTGTAAATCTAATAATCATAGAATCTTAAAACCCAGATTTTAAAAGACAAAAACGACAGAAAAGCCAGGAAAAACTGAATCCCTACTATGGTATCTACCAAGACATTGGTCAGTCCAGGTGTTCACTTCCATGTTAGGGGCTGGCTTCAGGAAGCAGAAGGTTCTGTATTACATTGAACTGAAATTCAGCTCCGTGGAAGGATTTTAAAAATCAAGAATTAAAATGGAAAACTTGTAATATCATGTTTACAATTGTTCCACTGAATGATTGAGATTCTAGCCATCATTACAAATCTGAAAAAAGCTTCAGGGCATGAGTTTGAGGCAAACAGAACCCTTCATTTCATTGGCATGCAACAATATGTAAATCTGTCTCAATTTTTAGTACATTTTTAATCATGTCATTTTGTATTAATGTAAACTTGCAGTTGTCTAATTTTCATCTCGTCGCTAATTGGAATTGAGATCTGACATGATTTTCCCGGCCTCTTTTATGACTGTCACTACATTAAAAATGTGCCAAAGATTATTGAGAAATGGCTGGACAGTTTTGGATCGGTTTTATCATAGCTAAAGAAGCCAACACTCACACATGAAAATGCCCTAACGTCTATGCAGACTGTAAAAGCATATTTTTTAAATTCTAGCAAACTACAAGGGTTTGCTAGTTATTCAATTGCCTTTTACTATAAATAAAAAAAATTTTCCTAGGAAAAAATCTTACAATATTAGTGAAGAAGGCTGCTTTTATGACATTGCCACATAATATTAGAGAATAGAATAGTTTCATTTTTATATTCAGGAAGTTTTTAATGATAAAAGAATAAAGAAAAATTGGAAGAAGGCAGCAAGAAGACTTGTGGTTTGCAAAAAATAAAAGAATATATCTGGCCGATCTAGCTAGAATAGGTGCTTTAAAAGTTGAATAGGTATTGTGTACGTACACACACACACACACACACACACACACACACACCTCCCCAAATAAAGAAACAACCGGGAAGGGAATAATGAACTCTAAGAGAAGTGACTCAAAACCCACATGAAAGCAAGATTTT